TATTAAAAACACACATACATACATGCATACATAAAACTAATATGAAATTAATTAAAACTTGAAAATACAAATCGATCAAAATGTCAACAAACATACTTACATGACACCTCTATATGTGTTTGTATATAAAATTTTTATAAATTTTCGTTATTTTCTTAAACGAAATGCATGTATGGCAGCAGTATTGTTTATAAATTATTCTCTATGTGATGCTAGTTGTTAGGCTGTACAATAGTCGCATTTTTGTTTGCCTTGTACGCGCTTAAGTAAACACTTACACACACGGTATATATACATACATACATACATATGTGGTAAGCATGTTTCAATAATAAAATATTTTTAATATAATTCCCACATGTACATAAATACATATACATACATGCATAAATATAAATAAATARCAATATATACATGTACATAAAAACTAATGAATGTTCTTATGAATAATTTCGCTATTATGTTATTTACTAGTGTAAATGTACATACATACGTGTATGTACATATATTAGTTGTCGTTCTTTTGGCAAGCCGCAAGAGATATTCGATTATATAAATGTGCACGCATTATAAAACATTTAGTTTCCATATATGTGTAATATTTAGTTAAAAAGTCTAGACCATAAATAATTAAACAATATTAAATTTAATAATCTACAATAAATCATGGTGTTTTATTTGAAAGAAAGGTATTTTTAARTCGCTAAGGTGAGTTTGAGGACAATACAGAAACTAATGGTTTTTTTTAAAGGCGCTCAGAAAAGCGCTACATTATTAAAAAATACTATTTTCAACTGAAATATTTGTTTTAAGCTTTAAAAAAATCCAACTAGAAGCACATATATTTAAAAAAAAATCCACCACATTGTAACTGGTAAATATATGCGTACTTCCAAATGAATTACCACAAAACAATTGCATACACTACGGCGCTAGTAAATGTAAACAAGAGTCAGCTGTTCGGTGTAGCCAGCAACTGTGATGAAAATAATTATAGAATTTCATTCCAGTTAATATATTCGAACCTTTTCCAAAAAAAAACTTTATAAAACAAAACAAATATTTTAAAAATAATTTAAAAAAAATTATAAAACGTAACGACAATGTATACTGTCAAGTTGAACAAATTCATCAAATGCTCATAGGCATTCAACATCTGGCCACACTACTTTCGGCATAAAAATATTCAATTCACTACAGGCGAGTATGTTGTGTGAGCTAAGCAATTTTGTTGGGTAAATAAACAATCAATTAAATATTTCTCAAATGTAGCAAATAAAAGTAAATTTTTTCAGCAGCATAGGATGGCTAAACTGAAATTAATGGATTGCTTTACACTACTGATTGTATGCTTATATTTGCTAACAGTAAACGTCTCTGCCGGGAATCAAACAAAAAAAAAAGATTTACACGATGATAAGGCATTTGTGAATGGAGTAATCAAACTTCCCGAGAATGAATTGCATCATGTTGTCACCGATAAGAACATTAAAGAAGAGCCAGCACATGAAGAAATAACAACAACGAAAAGTGAGCATCAAAACGTCGCGGTAGGAAAACAACAAAAACTGTCACCTGTGTCGCAGGCTGAGCCAACGATAGCACCTAAAGAGCGTTTTAGTCACGTAGTTGAAGAAACGAAATACAAAACCAAAGATGCCAATCTCGATTATGAAGATGATGATTTGCCCGGTTCGTATATAACGGGGTTCTATATATTTATTGGCCTTAGTATGTGCGCAATGCTCTTTATTGTGGTACGGGTTTATAGGTAAGTGCTTTTTGCTTTATAACAAACCACCCACCAACACACGTGTTGTGAACATGTCTTTTATTCTGCCGAAGATTACGTTTATCGAGAGCTGAACGCAGGTACGGTGTACAAGGTGATCGTAGTACGCATGAACTGGTACCTCTACCCGTTTCTATTGAGGATAATAATAGTGAGGATGAAGATCATACTTTATTCGAAGTGAATCGTCAACAAATTCGAATATTATGAGTATGAATTGCATCAAAATATTACTTACATAATGGAACAGAAAAATCGTTTGGTTACAAGGCTATACAATGTTCTGGTTTTTGAATTGTATTTATTTATGTTTTTGAGATCCATATATGTTAAGTTAGATTTGGGGAGCATACYGCACTCTCCATTTTCCGTGGTATATTATAACTCTCTACTCGAAACAAATTTGTGATACTAATAAAATATTTATGAATGTACATATGTACTCGAAGAAGATCCAACTATAAGTGGGTCGAAATATAAATACGTTTTTGATTTAAAAGTTTCTAACTTATTAATAGATACTTTTTTATATTTTTTTATTTTTCGACAATCRTTATTGATAGCACTAAGTTACAAACAGTATGTAAATCTGATTTTATATTTTATTTTATTTTGAGATGGCAATGTTAACACATTGTTTTTTTATTACTACAACTTTAAATAAGTTAAATAGGAAATTTACCCATAACACCTTTTTTATTAAGGAATCACTTAAGAAAAAATTTATAGCAGAATAATTAAGCAACATTGGTAACAACGTATAGACTTGCCACACTCACGCTATTTCATTATATATATTTAATGCCTAATCTGCTTTTTCAGATAAATATTGCTTCTTTAAATTCTATTAAATTCAAAAATAGTTTTCAATTTTTTTGAAGTATATGTTAAAACTTAATTGTTTACTAATAACGACTTCAATTATTGCTACGAAAAGAAAAAATATGGCAGCTCACAATAGCATTCCAGTGCTTGGAAGCAACTCTATGCTGTCCCATCTAAGAAAAGCTAAACATTAAAAATGATAATTTCTATTAGTTAAAGTTGGTAGAAGTGAGCTGTTGTATTTTTAATAACATACATAATTTAACATTGTTTTGTAAGTGTAAGTGATTTATAGGAAGTAAATAAATGTGAAGTATCTATCTTGTTGTTTCATGTAATGAATATGCCCTAAACAAGAATTCACTGTATTTTGATTTCGATGATCGTGTGTCATCGTGTTTTGAGATAGTAATTTAATTTTTGTATACAAAGAGAATTATGCGTGAATTATTAACAATACAAATTTTTAAAATATTGAAAATAAATTAACGAAACTAAATTAAAAGTGTTAAAGGTAACTAATAAACATTGAAAACATAAATTAAAGAAATATRTAATAAGCGTGCAATGTGAGATTACTTCAGAAAAAATCCATTTTTGTTGGTGCCCATTTGTGCATGTAAGCAGCTCGTGTGTATGTATGTACATATCTGGCTTTTTCATGATTTTCAGTCAATTTCATTGGATTGGCATAAATCGTGAAGTAACCATAAGGTTTAGAGGAGAAAATGTGATATTGAGCAATTTAAAAAAATTTACGAAGCCAAGCAACTGCGCCGAGGTCACAAAATTGTTGACCCCAGCAAAAGTTGCGAACCTTTTATAAATTAAATAGGAAAAAAATTAATACCAATTTGATGCGAAGAGTGCTGTTGAAAAATCATTTTGTTTCTCTTTCTTATCATATTACTTCCTCATTCCGTACGGAGTTATTTCATATATGTGAGTGCAAGTGAGGAAACTATACTGGTATCAGGTAGCGTTAATTGAATTGGAAAGTTGGAAGGCTGTTGCCATATGTTTTTGTGTACACCACAAAGAAGGAAAATCAATCTTTTCTGCAATAATAAAACAGTTTCTAAATGTGTAATAACTTGTGGAGCTAGTAAATATWACTAAACATTAATTAGATATTAATATTCCAAGACAACCCTAAAAAATAATGGTAACAGTTAGGAAGGTGTATTCCACGCATATATTCAATTTTACGTGCTACGGTATTTTCTTTCAATACATTTTATTTATAAATACYCTAAACACCACTGGTTACATTTTGCGTTTAAAATGTTATCCCATTTCAGTTAGAACGGTTTAAGCTCACAAATTTATCCTGGTTACAGGCACAATAAACAAACAAATTTAAACAAATAATATTTAATTGGAAAATTTGGGAAAGCGACTTTTCAGTGACCGAAGACTATTCAAATAACGAACGAACGAACACTACTTCAAATAAACTATTTTTTTTAATTTAATATTTATTAATTTTTTTTTTTCATATATTTTATAATGCAGAGATTTTCCATCATAAATCCATTAAAAATAAAGCGTAATAGAGCCCCAAAAAGACAGGTGCACGAGCAGCRACCAGCAACGTTAACGTCTCAAACTGCGACTTCTACACGCAACGCTTCTTGCGCATTTGCACCCGTAGCCAAGAAAATGCAGCGTCCCAATGCGGTAGTGAAGCCAACAAGTCTCGATGATATCTGGAATGAATTGGAAGATGGCATTAAACAAGTGTTTCAACCAGAAAAGTCGAATCTATCTACTGATCGTTATATGCACCTGTACACATTTGTTTATAACTATTGTACAAGTGTGAATACTGTGCAACGTTCTATGGTTCGTGCAGGTGGCGCACAACTTGTTGGCAAAAAATTATATGACCGTCTAAAGGAGTTCCTTAAAAATTATTTAACTAGATTACAGAAAGCCTTTGAATATATTCAGGGTGAAGAAATTAGGCTGACGCACTACACCAAGCAATGGGAATCATATCAATTCTCAAGTAAAGTGCTCAACGGTATATGCAGTTATTTAAATCGGCATTGGGTGAAGCGAGAATGCGAGGAGGGTCAAAAGGGTATATATGACGTATATCGACTAGCATTGGTTACGTGGAAGGAAAATTTATTTGAAAATCTAAATGAATCCGTTACAAATGCAGTACTGCGCTCCATTGAAGAGGAACGTAATTCTCAAACTATAAATCGTCACCTCATAAAGAGTGTCATAAATTCTTATGTGGAATTAGGCTTTAATGAAGAAGATACAGATTCAGATAATTCCAAGAAATTATCTGTATATAGAGATCACTTTGAGAATAAGTTTATACTGAAAACTGCTGAGTTTTATAAAAAGGAATCGGAAGTATATCTGAATAACTCTTCAGTATCTGATTATTTAAAGCACGTTGAAGATCGCCTTGACGAAGAAAGCAAACGAGTGAATCGTGACGAGTTTTCATATTTACATGAGAGTACACATAATATATTGATAAAGACGTGTGAACAGGTATTATTTAATCTATTAATATTAGTTTTGTATTCATTAATAACAAGCGAAATTTGGATATATATATCTTCCTACAGGCTTTGATTGAGAAGCATTTAGTTAGATTGCGCGCTGAATTTCAGAAATTTCTTAATGATGATAAGAATGATGACTTGAAACGTATGTACAGTTTAGTAGCACGCAATCCCGAAAATTTAACCGATCTAAAGCTATTACTTGGCGAGCACATATTAGAGCAAGGTACTGAGGCCATAAAGAAAGCCGGCGCTGAAGCAGCAAACGATCCGAAATTGTATGTGCAAACCATATTAGAAGTACATAAGAAATATCATGGGCTCGTGGTCATGGCTTTCAACAATGATAATGGTTTTGTGGCTGCACTTGACAAAGCATGTGAGAAATTCATCAACTTAAATGAAGTGACACAGGTGAATAGCGCCAATAAGTCGCCAGAATTGCTTGCCAAATACTGCGATTTATTGTTGAAGAAATCTTCCAAGAATCCCGAAGATAAAGAGCTCGAGGACAATTTGAACCAAGTTATGGTTGTCTTTAAATATATTGAAGACAAGGACGTTTTCCAAAAGTTCTACTCAAAAATGCTTGCCAAACGTTTAGTGTATCATACATCGGCTTCAGATGATGCGGAGGCGATAATGATTTCGAAATTGAAACAAACTTGTGGCTACGAATACACAATCAAATTGCAAAGGATGTTCCAAGATATTGGTCTCTCCAAGGATTTGAATGCTAGCTTCAAACAGCACTTGGTGAACGCAAGAATACCACAAGAAATTGATTTTAGCATTGAAGTATTGTCATCCGGTTCATGGCCATTTAATCAGAGTACCACATTTTTGCTACCCTCCGAATTAGAACGTTCCGTACAGCAGTTCAATGAATTCTATGCAAATCGGCATTCAGGCCGCAAACTGAATTGGTTATATAATCTGTGCAAAGGTGATTTGGTGACCAATTGTTTCCGTAATCGGTATACATTGCAAGCAAGCACGTTTCAAATGGCCGTGCTGCTGCAGTTCAACGATCAAACTAAATTCACTTTACAACAATTGCAGGAAAATACGCAAATTAGCTTAGAAAATCTAAAACAGGTAATATTTACATATTCCACAAATTCCAACAAATCGCATTACAATGTATACATACTTTTCAACAGGTGCTACAGATTTTGATGAAAGCCAAACTGCTAGTGTGTGCGGACGATGAGAATTCACTCAATCCCAATTCTGTGATGGAGCTATACTTGGATTATAAAAACAAGAAGCTTCGCATTAACATCAATCAACCGCTTAAGACTGAGCTCAAAGTGGAGCAAGAAGCCGTACATAAACACATTGAAGAGGATCGCAAACTGCTCATACAGGCCGCCATTGTACGTATTATGAAGATGCGTAAGAAGCTCAATCACACCCAGCTTATTACCGAAGTACTCAATCAGTTGGCGTCTCGCTTCAAACCTAAGGTGCAAGTGATCAAAAAATGCATTGATATTCTAATCGAAAAGGAGTATCTAGAACGTATGGAAGGACAAAAGGATACTTATAGTTATTTGGCTTAAATGTTTTACTCAAATCACTGCAATCAGCAGTTGCACATACACAACTCGTGCAGGGGCGTTGAGAATTATTTCATATTTTTAATTTTTTTTTTTTTTTTTTTGTTAAATTAGCATTTTAACCAATTTCAAACTTCACGTAACGCATGTTACATTCAAAAATAAATACGAATAAGTTAACTAATTGAACGCATGACATTTGTAATTATTGGAAAACAATAATTCTATTTTGACTTTTCAATAATATTTCAAACAAAAAAGATCATGTCATTCAGTTTATTTCGAAGCGTCATTACTTTTTGGGCTTACTATTTGTTTTTAATCATAAAATCCATTGGATATGTAATGCAAATAATAAAATATAAAAAATTAGCAATTTTACATTTATTTTAATTTTGTGTGGGTTCCCAGAATTTTCACTGACTTCGTCGCTTTCGGTTTTTCGCTGAATTTGTAATCGGAGTTCTGCACACCAGGCGAACATAAATGCAATGTAGGTGACACGAAGTGTACTTCTGGAACTTACTTCCAACGAAGATTTGAATTATTGTTGTTAAACGCCTGACTATGAAATATTCGATACCTTCCTACTTTTCATGATCGCCTGTRCGCAGTTGAAAGAACTACAAACAAACGGAATCAATCAGCTCAGCRGCGCTCGCTGTTTGTATGAGAAACGGTGGGAGAAATGTATTCGGAATACCAGGCGAACATAAATGCATAGCAGAGTAACGAAAAATCGCCCGATATGTACTTCCAGGAATTTATTTCCAACATGCGATCATGAGATGAAGCAGAATAAGGATAAAAACAATAGGAATCAGTGTTGGTAAATGCTTAATCGATTCAATTATATTAAAATTAATCGAATTGATCAATTTCTAAAAATTTGAAATAAGTTACAATAAAATATATTCTTCTTCTTAATTGGCGTAGTCACCGCTTAAACGATTATAGCCGAGTTAACAACAGCGCGCCAGTCGTTTCTTCTTTTCGCTACMATATAGCAGGACGGGAATTATGAGTGAATAGATTACGATTTCCAAATATTACCTGCGACAACATGAATATTATAATATACGTAGACATCAATTACTGCTCCAAGTCTGAGCACTGTATTTTATTTATTTATTTTTTTTGTTTTTTATTTTACAACTTTTATTACTTTATATTATATAATACATATGTATTCTTCTCGAACCAAACATAAGTTTAGTTGTGAGTATTAATTTATTAGAAATACACAACCTAATGTCTTTTTTTGTATGAAAAATTTATATATAAAAATATTTAAACTGAATATGAGGATACGACACTGTTCGTTTGAGCAAATCTCTTGCAATTTTTTTAGTGGCAAAAAAACCAGAGATTTAGAAACCATAATCCATGGCGGGCCGTTCACACAAAAACTGTCTCAAGTAACCGAACACCTTGAATTTCTTTATCGGGTAGGACTCTATGYGTAGCCTTGGAAGACCATCAATTCAGTCCATACTTATGTGTACTATTCTTAATARCTAAATAAACCAAACATATGGTTATGATACAATTTCACATTCTTTTTACTTCAACATAGGCCCATAACAAAAATTATAAAGGAAAAATTGTCAATTGGTGTTTTGTATGTTTTACTCAATCAATTAGTGATTTGAGAAGGACCCTTAAATAATTTTGTTCGACCAAATAGTCGTTCTAAACTAGGTAAGAATTTTTAATGATGAGAAATATAATTTGTTTTGACTTTCATTAAATACAAAAATGGTCACAAGAATTAAGTAACATAATTACATAAATTTTAAACATAGTCGTTATATACACACACATTTCGACGCACTGTATGTACATAATACTAATGTTCACATCTGGAACTGTTTGTTCTTTTTTTGTTCTGTCACATCATGTGATTCCTGCTCGAAAGACCTAAATTTAAATATACATTTGTTAAAACATATATATTTTTATTAAATCTAAATACAACTTTTAAATAATAACTCGTAGAAAATTCACAGAGTCCAAAAAATCAAAAAAGTGTATGTTATTTAACATTAGAAAATATAAAATATTGCTCAAAATGGAAAATTTTGTATGGCCAACGATGACAGCGAAAAGTAATGCCAAGACTAGACTATGTGAACATCCTTTTAGAAAAAAATAATATTTTTCCCGCAATTGCAGATTTGTTTAACAAATCTCATAAAATAAAACGAAATTGGCAATTACATACAAACGTAAAATTAATTAGTGTTAATTTTAGTGCTACAAATCACTAACCATTATGGATAAATGTCAGCAGTTTAATATAACCCTACATACAAACACAAAATATATTAATATTATATAAAAAAGCTCGTTTAATGTAAAGGCTTTTGTAGCATTTACAGCATTTTTCATCGTTTGTTAGAACTGCTGACATATTTAATATCTAATGGCATAGCAAATCATTCCTTATGCATATAGATATAAAAAATAAATAATCAAAGTAATGTTAAATAAAATAAAAATCTAACTTGAGACTAGTCCTCATCATCCAGCTTTATAGTTTTCGTTTGAAAACGCATCCTTTTGGTATTTTTGATTATGCCGTTTGTGAGCAGATTCTTACCTTCCTTTTCACATGGTATGTTATTCCAAAGTTTTTTAAGGCGCACCACTGCTATGGCATTAAAATCTAGATTTTTGCTGCTAGCACTATCTATTTTCGTTAATATAATTTTCGGCACTTTGGCAAAACACGCATTGGTGGTGGGGTCTTCTGGCACAGCAAGTGAGGTGCAACCACGCTTTTGCTTGGAATCCTTAGCTTTTGACGTTGAGCTTTGTGATGCTACCGACTCCATTGATTCAGACTGTCTTCTGCATATAGTAAGAATCATCAGTTAATTTTATCAAAATAAAAATATAAATTGCAAAAACTTCTTCTTACCTCTTAGAATAGTAATATTTGTTGATTGTGGGTGGTGGTGCAGCGCAAATTTTTCCAGGTTCTTCTGGATGACAACCATAGTCGATACCTTTTAGCCAGTTTTCATAACGTTCTGGCTGGAATCGCTGCACAAATGTTTCCATTGATATTTTCACCATATCCTTCCGACAATTACAAATGCTGGCACGCTTACCATACTCAATCCAACGCTTAGAACCGAAATTAGTTGACTCTGCGCCATTAAAACCATGATTGAAACCAGCATGATAGCCAAAAGGAAATGTTATCATAATTTCTCCAGCTTCTTGTGTTACTTTATTGAACGGTATTTTATTCTGTCGCAATACTTGTGGACTTATCAGTGTCATTTTGTGACGCAGAAATGCGTTACAGTTTTGATAGTTTTCATAGAAAAGTCTATTCGCCAACTTTTCTAATCTCCGGCCATATGCGGGTGGTATTGCATACCAAGTCTTTGGTGCACCAAAGTGRAGGTAGTTTATTGAATATAAATCCATATCCTCTGTATGCCARGCAAAAGAACTCTTCCACATACCAAAATACAGATAAGCCGTATTTACGCCGTCAATTTCAATACCGTAATCTTTGTTCACGTAATTCAGTATTGTGTCTAAACAATTTATATTCCAAATTCGCAAATCCGGATCACTTAAAGAACCTTTGACATCAGCCGCATAAAATGGTGCTATATATGTCACATTTTTCCAATACTTTCGTTCCAAATCGTCGTAGTCAAAATGYCGTGGCGTTTGATAACGTTCTGACTCAGCCATTTCTTTAAATTGTCGCAAAGTCATAGAACGTTTCTGCACATTGATTTGCTGATATTCACCTTGTTTACCTGTAAAATTAAGRTATGCGAAAATAAAAATAAGAGGTGCAAATTTGTGGTTGCATTTTGTTTACCTGATACCACTTGACAAATTGGTGCGGGTATTGTCATATTTATATTGTCTATATTATAACCGGATTTCCGTGGCACCCATTCTGGTGGTGGTATAATTTTTGCTAGTCCGGCTAAGTTTGCACCACGACTTTCCATGTATTCGACATAACTTGAGAAATTCTTGAATTCCTCATAGCTGGGACGGAATGTCATGATCCTTGGTATTTTATTACGATCATTTTCAGTGCAGCCCGAATTAAGGGACATTGTATGACACCACAATCAAATTCTTTTCTATCAAATTTTATAATTATGATATTTGAAAAATTTTATTATTATGTACAACAAGTAATAGATGTATATTTATAAATCAGCTCAATGTTTTCACTGGCGTTTCTGAAAATTATCAATGCAGAATATGCAATACCAGCTGTTATACACAAAGTCGCATTTAGTGTTGCTCAATAAGCATTGTGAAAATCTACTAACTTTATAGTAAATTATTAATTACTTACTAAAAGTTAAAATAAAGGAATTTATTTAGTTTTTTTTTAATAAATATAGTTTATATTTGTCTTAGCTTTTAAAATTAAATCTAAAAAATAGTAACACAATTATCAGTATCTGATTCATACCATGTATAATTGAAAAAAAAGTAACATCTCTGGTATAGTTTTACAACATAATTTGAGGAAGATACTAACTGAGTCGACTCGTCTGAGAAACTTTTAAGCCATCTTCGGACGTCTTAAAAACATGCAATACCTAAAATGATGGAATAATACCGTTCTTTTTTTATGGCATATTTAATACGCTAATTTACAGTACTTTTGCGGATATCATGTTAAAGGGATTTTCTTTCTAATTTGGGTTGCTAAAACTTAAAGTTATATTATCCCATTGTCCTCTTGGCACATCAGTGACAATTTTTGCCTTCAGTTTTGTTGAGTAGTGTAATTATTTTTAAAAAGGAAGTCGGTACATTGCATATTTTATATAAGTGAGGAGAGAATAACTGTTATATGGAGAATACAACGTCCACCCTCTCTTCTTATCGTTCGATTTCAACCCCTTTTTAATATATACATAGATAGTTTGTATGTATGTATATGGGGTGCCACAATATTTACACCTTAGCAAGTTTGGTTCATATTTGTACGAGCATACATACAAATGTAGCTTATATGGAATCTATCGAAAATTGGCCATAATTAAGCACTTTTGAACTACATGGTTCGTAMAGACTCAGATGCAGCATCTTTTCTTTGACAAATTTTTTATTTTCTTCAATATTTTTATCAGTGGAATATACGGACTGTTTGGCATCTTTTCGGCTTTTTTATAAGACTTTATTTCATTTTAGTCGCAAAATTGAACGCAAAATTCAAGAAGAGCTTGCAAAATCTTTCGGATCCTCAGACACCCAAGTTGTCATTTTAAAACGTTGAAAAGCGGACCAGTGGCTTAACTACAACTTCGGGCGCCTGGGGCCAAGGATGTTCTGCCGCCCCCCTTTATCCTATCTATCTACAAGTTTCATAAGGTGGTTCAAACAAAAGTGAATTTTTACAAAATATGTRTCTTCGATATTAAGTATATAAAATGTAGGAACTAGAAGCCACGAAAATTCTGAAGTTCCAAAATTCTCACAATACGGTTTTTGAGGAAATTGATAGTAAATTTACAAGATATCTTATTAAAAGCCATAGAAAAACCCCATTTTCGCCCTATATTTTGTACACTTGGGATATGGTAAACATTGGTATGCGTGCGAGGTAAACGATGCAGCATGATTGTATCGCTTACTGCGATCGATGAAAATTAACACGGCAATGTCCTAGGGAAAGTAACAGATCACCCCTTTCGCTTACCATAGGGACGAAGAATTCTTCGATACCAAAATTAACGAAGAATTCTTCGATGCTAAGGTCAATAGTAGAATAGAAAAAATTGCTTATTAATTTGCTTTATTTATGAAAGTGCATGTATGTATTTGGTTATGAAAATAAGTATTTTTGTATAAAAATGAATGATTTTCTTTTAATTTTGCGGCTGAGTCTCTTTTTGTTTTTTCCAAGCAATGAGACTTAAAAAACGGCCTTTGGCGAGTCTGATGATTTTAAAATATGGTGAACATACTCCCAATTGGTGAAGCTTTCTACTTTTACACATTCCAGTGCTTCACTTTCGTCACTTTTAATTAGTCTTCTCATATGCCTTTTCGAGAATATTTTTTATTTCTTTATTAAAAGTTTAACACAAAAATAATTTCATGAACTTGTACTTGTTGTTTATATATTTTATTGTAACATTTTTCATGTACTTACTTGATATTAAATATAAACGCAGTAGAATTTAGCCTCATAGCTTACTTTTATGCATTACCTGGTCTYGAAGAATTCTACATAGAATTTTCTTCGAATCATTCTTCGAAGGAAAATGTAAGCGGTGAACCATTATCGCGCTGGGAATTATTACATTGTGAATGTACAACTCTTTATCTTTTATAATAAATTTTGTAAAAAAAAAATTGTTCAATATAAAAAAACAGCGAAGATCGTTTTGCCGCCTCCAAGATGTTTAACTTGCCAGAAAAAGGAATAATGTTATAGCTTTAGATGGACAATTGATTGATAAATGAGGAATGCACCGCGACCTTAGGTCTATTGTGCCTTCTGCTAAATCGCAAAGACTCACCTAGCCCCGGCATATCGATAACGCCCAATGTTATGCTGAGCGCCAGCGAAGCGATGCGATCCCTATTTGGAAACATGGATCCAAGCGCCTTTAACCTGCGTCTGCAGACTTCTGTGCAGTCGATTAGCAAGTGTTCTGGTGTTTCAGGCTCCCTGTCGCAGTACCGGCACGAAGCTAGGCCCATGTTGTGTTACTGCTTCTTCAGCTTGCAGTGTCCAGTGTAAAATGGAAAGCCACCGCAGTGTAGGGTTCACGTGCTACCATGTTAGTGGATGCTGCGGGGCTATACCTTTGTGACCGGGCAGATAAGGTGCACTTGGTTACTTTTTAAAATTTTGAAAAAAACGAACCATGAATATAGTTATAGATCCTATACATAGTTACATTTATGAAGATATCTGACTAACATAGGAATGTTACACGAAATATTTTAAATTAGAGTTAACATGCAACGCGCAATTCAAAAAACACCTTATTACACCTAGTAAGTTAAAACTCCTACTGAACTGAGCATGAGATGTGTTATACTAAAATAGATATAAATATAGGCTCTAACCTTCTAAGAGCAGAACTGCCAATTATGTATTCATACATCATTTTTTAGCTGAGTATGCACATCCGCTTTGTGAGACTCAACGCAATCTGGCTGTACTACGATTGCAACGATTCCCTTTGAAATATGACGAAGTTGTAACTTAATCACTAAGTATTGATATGCTTAAGATAAACAAACGAGTATAAGTACTAAAAGTACATATGTACCGATCTAACTGCAGACCTGTTATCGTTATAAATTAAGTCAAGTGCACGGTTAGGGTTTTAGTCGCTCAGTGACGCCCTCCAAAGATGTGGCGAGTTTGAAATTTGCTCCCGAAGTATAATACTATATGCATGTATATATAAAGTGCGGTTGAATAACTGTGATCTCAACTTTAGTCGCGTCGAAGTTTGTTTTTTCGTGAGATTGAAGCATTTAAAGCCACGGTGATAAAACACAATTAAGCAATAAAATATTATATAGTRGCAAATATAGACAGTGTGTGTATTACCCGAATAAAAGAGACTAACGTGACGATAATGGGCTTTAAAAAATCCATGAATGTGCAGGGATCACTGGCTGAGAATGAAAAACGTAAGAATTTTACTTACACATCTACTCACATACCTACATATAATAAAAATATACATACTAAATGCTTATTAGATATACAAAGCAATAATTAAAAATACGAGTTTTAATGAGAATTTAAATTTACCATATACATACATATATAGTGTTCATTAGAGAATTTTATGGAAATGCGTGATAGCCATTCAAATTCTTCAACTAGATAAAGTCGTTATTTTCTTTAAGAGAGCTTTTTATTGGTCACGGGGAAGGAGAAACTATTAGAAGGATGCAAGAAATCTTTGCTAAATAAAAGGAAAAAAAGAAAAAACTTTAACTGCAAAAAATTGTTTTACAATGACGTGATTTTTATCTGTCAGTTTGTATAGCTCAGTCTTTATAACAGATATATGCTACAGTGTTTCGATATCGCCGGTTTTGACAAATGCATAACTACTTGAAAGAAAGGAACACATGGAAAATTTAGGTCGATATCTCAAAAATTGTGTTTGTGTGTATACAGATAGACGGGCAGGGTTAAATCGTCTCAGCTCGTTCTTTGGTCAAAATAAAAACCGTTTGGTATATCTATGAAGTTCTTTATACCTGTGAAAGTACATTCGATGCCACTTTGTATAGAACTCGACTTCTTTGCATGGCCACAGTCTAGACGCTGAACCCGATTTTCGACAGTTTTCAAGCATACTACTGCAATTTCACGTTTGATATTCCCACGAAGTTCATCAATCGTCGTGGGTTGGTGGCATAAACCATATACTTTACGTAGCGTCAAATAGCACGATCAGCGGCCAAGTCAATTGGCCATTTCATGAGATAACACATTCACCAAACTTGATTTTCAATAAATCGATTGTGACATTCGCTGTGTGGCTTGTGACGATGTCCTGTTGGAACCATATATTGTCTAAGTCCATATCATCGAATTCCGGCAAAAAATATGCGGTTATCATTGAGCGGTAGCGATTCCCATTTACAGTAACGTACCGGTCTTGATCAGCACTGATGAAGTACGGCCCAATGATGCCACCCTCAGATAAACCAAACCGTATTTTTTTGAGATGCAATGTTGACTCATGGAGTGGACGTGTGGATTTCTGCCTGACCAATAACGCATATTTTGCTGCTTAAGAAGCCATTCCGCCAAAAATGAGCCTCATCGATGAAGATAATTTTTCGATGAAAATCCGGATCATTTTCAAGTTGTTGCTCAGCCCAATTCACGAACATACGACGATTCTGGTGGTCAAGCAGCTTCAGTTCTTGCGTCAGTTTGATTTCGTAAGGATATGCAAAACTTGCCACCACGACGTCACAGAGATGCCCAACGCTTGAGAACGACGTGTGAGAGAATGATTTGAGTCTTCCTCAATTGATGCGCTAGCGGAGGCAATGTTCTCGACACTACGGGCACTTCTTTGCCTCATTGGCACGGGAACATTTTGTCCTGTGCCTGTGGATTCAAATTTTTYCACTAGACGCTCAATTGTTGATCTGACAGGACAATTATGACGACCATAAATTGGACGTTGCGCTCTCAAAGTTGAGGCCACTGACTCCAAATTTCGGTAGAAAATTTTTATAAT